TGATCAGACATGCTAATGAGACCTCAAGGGGCTCCCTCTATGTTGCTCCATGGAATTACCAAGCCTTTGAGGATGCATCTCCTCATAGATATTGGCTTCAAATTGAAGCAACTGACATCATGAACAGATCAACTTTGACTGAATTAAGGCCATTTTCTATTAACGGTCATAGTGTCAAGCTTTCTTGGAGCTGGAAGGAGTTTTTTGTTATGGGTTGTCAATGGCCTGCCTTGTATTATCCAATGTTCTGGTCTTCCTACATCTTCTGTTCTTTTTCTTCTTCTTCTTCTAATCATTCTACTTATTTTTCAAAAGAAGCTTTACACGTACAAGAACTTCATTGCCACCAGAGGTCTCGGCAATGGTGTATTATGGGTTCAGGAGTTCAGGAGGGTTCGCACATTATGGTTTGGTTTTATTGGATACTTATTTTATCTCATATTATTCCCCTGGTTTATTGGTCAAGTATTTACAGAAGGGAACAACAGGGGATACATGACCTACATGGGTTGGGTTGTGAAGAATCCCAATGAAATATGGAATCATGATTATATTGGATCTCCAGATATTATGATGATTGTTCTTCCTCATCTATTCTTCGTGCTATTTCCAACAATTTTGGTCTCCGCAGCTCTGACTGCAGAAAGAGGGATTTATCGGGAACATATGTTATCACGTTCAGGGAAGAAAGTGGACGATCATGATCCAAAGATTCAAAGAACTGTATCAAATGATGAACAGAGAAGCAGACTTTCAAATTTCTGTTTAGGCAAGCGACCAATTCGGACGATTCTCTGTTTGATATGCTTGGCAATATGTTGGAAGCATTTTATGGTAAGGCTTTTTTAATAGATAGTTGGCATTGTGATGTGCAAAGGTGTATATCATATAATAGAATATCACCCAGGAGCCAAAAGATAAACTATTAAAGAACATTTTGCACTAAAATAGATAAATGAACATCCTTTAAACATGAATGACAGTCGCATCCCTATATAATTAGTTTCATGAATAATCTTCTTCATCGTTGTAATTTTCCAAAAGTAGAGAAGATCTTACATGTTTTGCATTTCAGTCTCAACAATGAGCTAACATCTGCTATCACCGGGGATTAGAGTGAGGATTGCTGTCAGGATTTCTAGCAATTTTACTTGACGATTTCTTTCCCCCCTTTTTTATTCCTACTAATTAGTACTAGCAATTTGATCCCTTGACATGAAACGTGTCAATTTAATGGTATCATCTGAGCTTCTAGCTCATTGGCTTTCTCCACTTTATTTTGTTTGATAAATTTCTTCGTTATTCCCCTGCAGAATTGCAGAAGTCTGATGAAAGCCTATGAGATGAATCCAATTCTCCATTTCCTGGGTTATGGGCTCTCAGTTCCCATCTTGTTGGCGTTTGCTATCTGTGGAACCAGAGGGATCCAATGAGAATGACCCAAAATGTTCACAGTTACCCAACTGGACCAAGCCCTGCATATTTTGAACCGTGGCTTATGACGTCAGAGGATAAACTCTCGTGGTTGCTGTTAAAATTAATTTGAAGTGATCCGTTGGGTTGAGGGCTGGACACTTTGCTTAGTACAGTTTCAGCAATATCAATTATTCGTTTGATGCAGTGCACACTTATTGTGGATTTGCACGGATCGGTATCTTACAGGCCTGCATTGTGAAGACTGAATCTGAAAGAGCTCATAGGTGCACCTCTTGCGCTAAAAATAGGTACAGGAAACCAATAGAAACTGAGTAAATGGGTTTTCCCCAAACCTTTTTGTAATTCCAACTTAGTTTATCAGGTTAGAAAGTGGCTATTTGCAGTTGATCCCCCATGACTTGCCACGTCAGTTGATACGATACAAGCCTCCATTAATCTCGAGCAGTTCTTAGATAAACTTATTACACGAATATAAAGTAAACTGAATGAATGTCCCTAGACCCTTCAGTCATTTCAATTAATCAAGTTTTATATTTTAGATTGTGGCTATTTTTAATTGATCCCTCCTGTCTAACTTCCTAGAATTGAACATAGTAGGTTTGTGACCTTCAGCTGTTGCACAGATAACCTTCTCAACTTTTGCCGTCCTGGTGTATTATTCTGGGGAAGATATCCGTTAATCGAAACGATAACTGAACAGTGGTGTTGACTTTGACATGCAGTAATAAATCTAATCCAAATTTTTTTCATAAAGGCGAATACACAATAAATTTAGAGAGAGAGATGTTGAATGCAAAGATAATGTTAGTCTATACATAATCACATTATCATGTCACTTCGCCGGATATATAAATATAGGAAGATTCAATTGTAATAGAAGAATCATAATTTGGACTAAAATCAGGTGAGCAGGAAAGTAATAACAGAAGCTTGATGTTGATGATCTATATTTCACTTTTCACAAAAGAATGCAGATTAATGTGGCAACCATCAACTGTGCAAAAATGAACTAGCCAGCTTCAATTTTACTGTGAAAACTACCTAAAAGTGGCACGGGAATCTGATGTTGAGGCATATAACATCGATCCTGAGTCTCTCGTGATCAAAATAGAAAGACTTGAAGAAGAAAATACTTAAACCGAACGAAAGGACCATGGTGCGTCTCAAATTCCTCTTATTAAGAAATCAAATGCCTTCCTGCATTTCACCTTCTAACTTTCCAAGAATAGGCCCCGTTGAGAGTTAAACCTTTTGAGGTTAACGCGTGAGGTGAAAATAGAGGGCTAAAATTAACGCTGGCAACCAAAATCCTTCAGCCTTTCGCGAGACCTCAGCATGAGAAGCAAGTCAAAATCCTCTCCATCAACTCAAGCTTCTCCCTCAGGTTGCCGGCAATACACACACCCTGTACATTATTATACATTTCCAGTTCCCATCTTCATCCACCAATTCCAGAATAATTTGATCTGGGCGTTATAGGCTCGTCCCTCCCCTTTTTCCCACTGTAGCTCCTTCCTAAGCTCTTTGAGCTTGCACTTCTGCTGGTTGGAACATGAGAGTTCACGTCTGATAAACCGTTCTCCAAAGCTTTTACTAAATTCTCAAAGAAAGTCCTTGTCACGCTGCATTTGTTGCATTATACCCAGTAAATCACAAGATTAGGATATGGTAAATTGGATTCTCTACAGTCATTTAGTTATGCAATAAGGCTTCTGTAACTATGCTACTTGCAATGCCCAACTATTCTGGAGTATAGTCCAATCCTTTAGCATACAACTTCGGGCTTTGAAGTTAAATCAAACAACGCAATTCCATTACTGCACTAAAGCCTCACCTGGTTAGTCCAGAAAGTTTAGTGCGGAAACAGTTAAAATCTCTTTCTGGATTCTTTTCCGTGAGATATACCTCCAGTTCCTTCTCAGCGCACTGATGAAGTCGTTCCAATCCAGCCTCTGCTTCACCTGCACAAAACAGATTTTGAGGCCAGAAGACATGATAGCAGCTTGCTTTTGAATTACTGAGTTGTTTTCTATATCTAGAATTAATTCAAAAATACAAGTGTCTAAAACAGCGGCCATGCTAATTTATCTTTTGTTTAAATATCAAAGCTTCAAAACACTACATCAACAAGATTTAAATTTAGCCAAATATCTGCATCCATGAAATCTGATAATTCCTAGTTTGGAAAAATTATTATAGAAACGAGAATAGTCATTTCAATTCATTGCCATTGCTTAAACTCAAAAAATTCTGGTAGTGATTTCCACCAGCTACTACCAACAGTTATTGAACAAGAAGATTATTAATGTAAAATATTTAAAGAAGCTTGCTTTATAGTCTGTTGTCTTTGTGGGACATGCATGATTGGCTCAAGGAAATGAGAATCCATAAACTCAGAAAAGGGGTTTCCGTGTAATGTCCTTAAGGTAAGAGCATACCTTGCAAGTATTCAAAAAACTCTCTCTTTGCTTTCTCCTTCTCAGGTATATAGTAGCCATAGGCATATGTCCATTTCAAAACACGTCTGCATTCAACGATCTGCATACAAAATTTGTTTACTAAGAGATAACATTACATTTTCATCCCTTTAATAGTTACAAACATACCTGTAACCAGGCCTCTGTGATGAATTTTAGCTGTGATTCTGGCTGACACTGCAGGTCACTGAGCTTCTCAAGCTGCAGCAATAGAAAATCATTAGAGTAGTTCTAAATTTACTAAAGCAGAAAAGATTGTCACATTTCTATTCGGAGTTTTATTTTTGGTCGTTTGGACATCAATTATCCACGTCCTGCATAATCATTTACTTTATTGGTTTGAGGGATTTAGTTGTGTTGAACTCTTGCAGCCTGTATGGTTACATATTGGTTGCCTAGTCATTGGTATAGTCACCTTTTTTTCATCATCGAAACTGATTGAATATAGTTTTAAAATTTTCCACTTTGTTATTCCTTTGGCTTCAATACTACTCTCTGTCAAACACCCACCAAATCTCCAGATCTCAAAAGAAATTTCTGAAGATGTTTCTATCAACAAGTTGGCCCGGGTTCTGTACAGATTTTACATAGTTAAATGGGTTTGATCGCATTCTACTCATACCTGAAGTACTTCCCAACCAGCAGCAGCATATTCGAAACATAAAATCATTGGAATTAAAAATTCAAGATAGCCATAGGGTATCATTGTTTGATTGGATGACCATTGCACAATTTGTACAAGAGTCTAGATCTTTGATTGAGCTAAATTAAATCTATGAAAAATCTGTGCCAGAAACACTACATAAGCTACTGGAGTGTTTTATATTGCAGCAATCAATTCGCAAAAATTCTTTAACAAACTAGACTATTCATGATCACTAAAGTCCACCACATACTTGAGTTTCTCGTTAGAGATCACCCTGTAAGCATAACAGTACCATTGGCAGTGCAACAAACAACCACGATAAGAAGATAGCTTACGTGCACAGTTTGCATTTGCTCTAGGTCTGCAAGAGCTTTCTGTCTGGACTGCAATCAATAAAGCATACACTAAGTGCATCAAGCAGGCATAAGAAACTAACAGAAAGCATCTATTATATCTCACAATCAACTGCAACCTGCAACTCTTCACGCCTTCTCCGAGTTAATGACACAGGAAACTGGTACAATTTTTTTTTTTTTTTAAAATAAAGCAACTAGCACATACTGATTGATTGGTTGCCCATCTTTCATAATAGTGATAATATCTTTCAAGAGAGTTCTTGATTATCTCTCTCTGCTGTTCTGCCTCTTGAAACTGGAAATCACAGCATTAATTTAATAAACAACATCAGTTCCGGCGTCATTGTCAAACTATTCTGAATTTGCTATATACCTCTTTATCTGCTTTTGCTTCTTCATAACGATTACATGCATAAAAACCACCTGTTGTCTCACCATGCTCAGACCATGGACCAAGGCAAAGCCTGCAAACACAGGTAATCAACTTCACTGAGATGAACTGAACAAAGCTTTAAACCACCGTCCTTCTATTTTTCAGATCTCTTTCCACCGGCAGAGAATATTATGAAGAGTCAATTAGTGCTTTATCAATGGAAAACTCAGACTAGAAGAGGAATTAAAAAACCATAACTGGAGATAGAAGAAACAAAAAAAACATCCAGTAAAGTTGTATTGGTAAAATAACAACACCACGCTCGCGCAAGACCAGATTTATGACAAGACACGAATATGGAGTGACTGCTGAAAATTTAGTGCCTGCCGAGTACTTAATTTCAAGGTTGATATAACTAGAAAGATTTAGGCAATTAAAAAAATTCAGATGAGAGATTCATTTTGTATAAATAATAAAAATGGAGATTATGACAAGAGCAAGGCAATCGGCCATGGTCATTGCCCCTTGGCCAGCCCACGAGTGTTGATGAGTAATAACAGCAGACAGCAAGCCACGCACTGGTATAGTAGTTTTGGCAGGAGAATGGCACAGAGGGAGTGGCAATGCAGCCATGACAGCAAAAAGAATATTGTTAGAAATCTTCATTTCTTTCGCCCTTTTGTCCAATGCTAATTTTTACTTTTATTTTCATTTTTTATATTTAATAAAGACTAGGATTAAACTTTTTTGACCCACGAGAGTCGTCATCATTTATTACATATGATCTATATAACTATACTTGACACCTAAAAGTGACATTTATGAAGAAGTGCAGATGTAGACTAACCAGCAAAACTCATACTTGCAGGGTGGTGTGCAAGTCATATGCATACAGCCTTGGTTTTTCTCAATTGGCCGTTTGCAGCTTGGACAAGGTTTCGAATTGGCCAATATCCTGAAATCCACGTAGGCAAATAGTTCAGCGATGCCAGGAATCTAAATTCAGGCGTGGTGACCGAATAACCATTATCAACCATCAACAATCAAAATTGTTAAGAGATTGTAATGAATATACCCTTGAACCTTACATAATAGAGTCTCTATGAACAAGTGGTCCGAAGTTCAATTCATGTTACCCACATTCTCTTAAATCTTCACTAAACTTAATTTGCACAAGGCATGACGTGATTACGTTTTATCCGCGAGCCTGAAGGGGCTCTTGCAAAGGATTCATAAAAGAAATTCTTCCAGGTTATGAAAAATAACAAAAGCATTTGTAAGAAAAGACGGGGGTTAAAGGAGACAGAAAAGGATGGGGAAAATATAATAGGAACAATATCTCAGTCTATGTTCAATCAAATCATCCAGGAGCCAAATACTACAAGCCTCAACTGAATCGAGTGAAGAATACATTAATACAAACAGGGACAGTAATAGTTAAAGGTACTACCTTCAGTTCTAAATGTAAGAACTAGTTGATTAATTTGAGTAGATTAAAAAATTAGTTAAGTTAGTTATTTGTAATAAATAAATGATCTCTTTCCTAAAATATCTTTGCTAATAAAGTATATTAGCTAGAAGTATCATTATCACAAGGCCTATCTTGGGAAAAAATGGATAAGTATGGGAGACAAAGTGGATTAGGGTTTTATATTTAAGACCAAAATAAAAGTTAAATGAGCTTTTATATTAAGGAC